GGAAGTCTTAACTACTTACTAATTTCGGTTAGCACTAGCTAAGAAAAGACTAATTTTCCCTTCTTGAATTACTCCTTTCTCAACACTCCCCCTCAAGCTAGGAGGTGTAAAAATGTTGAGAACTCCTAGCTTGGAGCTTAGATGTTCATGTTGAACTCTGTTGAGGCCCTTGGTAAGAATGTCTGCTGGTTGATCTTAGCTAGGAATGTACTTTGTTACTATCAGTCCTTGCACCATCTTTTCTCTTATAAAATGACAGTCTATTTCAATGTTTGGTTCTCTCATGATATACAGGATTGGTGGCAATCTACATAGCAGCCTTGCTATCACTATAAACTTCAATAGGTAAGTTCACTTCAATTCCAATTTCTTGCATAAGTCCTTGTAGCCAAATGAGTTCAGCTACTGTGGCTACAATGCTTCTGTATTCAGCCTCTGCAGAACTCCTAAACATTGTGGTTGTTTCTTTGATTTCCAAGCAACTAAGGAATTTCTAATCTTGATTAAGTACCCTGTTATTGATTTTCTGGAAAGTGGAATGCAGCCTAGTCTGCATCACAGTAGGCTGTGATATTGTTGTTAATTGTGCTTGACAGCAGAATTCCTCTTCCAGGTTGATTTTGACATACTTGACAACTCTCATAGCTTCTTCCATGTGAGACCTTTTAGGTGTAAAAATTGACTAAGAGTTTGTACACTAAACGATATATCAGGTCTGGCCATGGTTAGATAGAGTAGTTTGCCTATCAACCTTTGGTATGAGTTAATGTTAGCAAGAGGTTCATCTGCTGAGTGACTAATACTTTTGCAGTGATCATCATACTCCTTTGTTGTTAGTTTAGCATTAGTATCTAAGGGAATTACAGAAGGTTTAGCAGCACCTAATCCAAGATCTGAAATAAGCTTCAATGCATATTTCCTTTGATGCATCGGTATCCCTTGTTTAGATCTTGCAAATTCAATACCTATGAAGTATTTTAAGTCACCTAGATCTTTTATTTTGAAGGCCTGCTGCAGTGTGCTCTTTGTTTCCTCAATTAGAATCAGACTATCACCTGTTATAATCATATCATCAACATACATTAACACCATTATGATCACCCAAAAGGTCATCTTCTGTTTTGGAATTCGATTCCGTATTTCGAGGCCTTGAAAACCTCATTTTATCTCTCCTCGATTTGCGTGCACAGTTCGGGCGTGTATCCCGAAAGCCCTTATGTGAAAATTTTATGAAATGATGATTTTTGATTTAAAATGATTTTTGTTGACTTCTGTCAATGTTTTGGGTAAACGGACCCGGACCCGTGTTCCGACGGTCCCCGAGGGTCCGTAGTAAAATATGAGACCTGGGCGTATGCCCGGGATCGAATTCCGAGGTCCCTAGCCCGAGAAATGAATTTTTAAAGAAAATTGATAAGACTGAAAATGTAATAATTTAAAAGATTTGATCCTGTTGATATCAGGATCGTATTTTGGTTCCGGAGCCCGGTACAGGTCCGTTATGATATTTAAACCTTATTTGTGAAATTAGGTGAAAAACGGAATTGATTTGACGTGATTCGGACCTTTGGTTGAGAAAATAGAAGTTTTGAAACTATCTTGAAAATTTCATGCAATTTGGTGTTAAATTCATAGTTCTAGGTGTTATTTTGGCGATTTGATCGCATGAGCAAGTTCGTATGATGTTTTAAGACTTGTGTGCATGTTTTGTTTGGAGCGCCGAGGGCTTGGGTGAGTTTTGGATAGGCTACAAAGTGATTTTTGAACTTAGAAATTAGCCGGTGTAACTGGTGTCTGTTGCAGGCCTCTGATCTCGCAATTGCGAGATCAGGCTTCGCAAATGCGAGCAAAGCAGGCATGGCAATTGCAAGGTCTTTATCGCAATTGCGAAGAAGGCCTGGGCCAGCAGAGTTCGCAAATGCGAACAAATCTTCGCAATTGGGAAGGGGGTCTAGGAAGGGGTATGATCGCAAATGCGATCTTCTACTCGCATTTGCGATGAACAGTGTTCGCAAATGTGACAGTTTCTTTGCATTTGCGATGGCAGAAGGACTGTGAAGGGCTTCGCATTTGCGAGCTTCGCATTTACGAAGCTCAGGTCGCAATTGCGACATCTGCAGCTGAGTAAAAGGGTCTTAGACGGGATTTTTCATTCATTCTCCCATTTTTCAAAACTTTAACTTCAAGAGGCGATTTTCCTAGGGCAAGTTCATCCCCAAATCATAGGTAAATGATTCTTAACTTATTTCTTTCAATCTATTTCATCTTTTTACAAGATTTCATCCTAGAATCTAGGGCTTTTCATGGTGGAATTGGGTGTTTTTGGGTAGAACTTAGGAATTTCGAAATTTGGGAATTTGGACCTCAATTTGAGGTCGGATTCCAAAACCAATTGTATATCCGGGCTCGGGGCTGAATGGGTAATCGGGTTTTGGTCCGAATTTCGGGTTTTGACCAAGCGGGCTCGGGGTCGATTTTTAACTTTTTGCAAAAAATGTTGAGGAATCTATAATTATGCATTGGAATTGGTTTCTTTGGCGTTAATTGATGTTATTAAGTTAATTATAATTAGATACGAGTGGATTGGAGGTGGAATCGAGAGGTAAAGCGGTAATTGAGCTTTGAAATACCCGTTGGCTTGAGGTAAGTGTTTGGTCTAACCTTGACTCGAGGGATTAGGGATCCCCGACTTACTTGCTATGTGAAATACCATGTGTTACGCGTATAGGTGTGGTGACGAGCACCTATGCGTCGCTAAATTACCTGTTTAGCCTGTTCCCTTCCCCGTTTCCTAATATATTGCTTTCCTGTTTTAATTGCTACTTGCTTATTGATGTTTCCCTGTCTAAATGCTTCTTGTTAAATGTCGTTTCTCTATTGACGTTATTAATTATTTCGTAGTTTCATTATATCTCACTGTTGGTTTACGTTGGTTATTGGTGCTTCGTGGTACACTTTGGTTGGTCTCGCTATGTAGTAATGACTGATGAAGTTTCATAATTATAGTGATCTTCCGTTGTGTTGGTTTGAGGTATAAGTGTTGTGGAGGATTTGAGTTAACTTGTGAAATACTTGTTCTTATTTTATGATTGATACTGATGTGGTGGGATCGGGTTGCACGCCACAACAGGAGGAATAAGGGTGAAATGTGATTGTCTAGTGAGATCGGGTTGTGCGCCGCAACAAAGAGTAATATGGGTGGACAGGTGGGATCGGGTTGCACGCCGCAACAGGAGGAATAAGGGTGATATATTGAGGAGTAATAAGGGTGGAGTGGTGGGATCGGGTTGCACGCCGCAACAAGTAGTAATAAGGGCGAATGCTCATTTTGTTATTGATTATATGGTGGGATCGGGATGCGCGCCGCATCATTTGTTATTTATGTATTCTTCTTCTGCTGAGATTCATTATTGTGGTGTTGAGACTCTCTTAAGGATTGCTTATAGCCGAGTAATGGTAGAAAGACTGGTTCTGTATTTATTAAATGCAAGTTTCTACTCTATTTCATTCTGTATTTTCTTCTTGCTTTATTATAAACTGTTGCAGGATATATTGTTTATGCTCTGCCGTAGCCTCATCACTACTTCGTCGAGGTTAGGCTCGCCACTTACCAGTACATGGGTTCGGTTGTACTGATACTGCATTCTGCATTTTCTGTGCAAATTTCGGAGCTGGTAGTGGCTGATCGAGAGGTCGGTTGTTGATACTTCAGTCAGGAGACCCAAGGTAGTCCTGCAGGCATCCGCAGGCCCGGGCGTCCCCTCCTAAATTCTATATCTCTGTTTTATTTACTTCTGAGACAGATGTATTCTTTTCTTTCAGACCAGTATTTGTAGTAATATGTAGAAAGTTCGTGAGTTGTGACACCAGTTTCTGGGTGGTGACTATTTTTTTTTCTGTTAATAGTATAAAGATAATCAGTTAATTATGTATTTCCGCGTTTAATTCTGTTGATTTAGCTTTGTTTAGTTTTAATTATAACAAGTAAAGGAAAAAGGTGATTATAACTCTAATGTTGGCTTGCATAGCGAGTGCGATGTTAGGCACCATCACGGTTCCGGCGGTGGGAAATTTGGGTCGTTACAACCATAGTAGTGCCTTCAGATGTTTTCTTGATAAATAAAGAGTGATCAAACTGGCTTTGTTTGAATTGAGACCTTGTCAGAGCTTCAGTCAGTTTTGCATTCCGTTGTCTTGGAGCTTGTTTTAGTCCATTAAAGGATTTGATGAGCATGCACACTGGTTTCTTCTCTCCCTGGCTCTTAAATCCTTGTGGGAGCTCCATATAAATCTCATCATATAGATCCCCTTGAAGAAATTCATTATACACATCCATTTGATGTATATGCCACTTCTTTTCTGTTGCAATTGCCAGTACTGTTCTGACTGTCTTCATTTTAATTGCTGGTGAAAAACTTTCCTGGTAATCATTCCCTTCTCTTTGACTGTATCCCTTTGCCACTAATCTGGCTGTAAACCTTTCAATTTCACCTGTAGCCTTGTACTTTACTTTGTAAATCCATTTACACCCTATTGGTGTTTTGCCTTCAGGAAAAGAAACTATATCCCATGTATGATTGCTTTGTAGAGCATTAATTTCTGCTTTCATTGCCTCTATCCAACTTGGATCTTTAACTGCTTCTGAGTAGTTTGTAGGTTCAGTTACAGTTGAGGAATTGGCTATATGCTTGATATGTTGGGGACAGTCTATCATAGGCTATATATTTTGAGATAGAATATGGAACTTCTGAATGAATATTGAGTGACACAAAACCACTCAGCCATATAGGTGGTCTTTTTTCTCTATCAGACCTTCTATATCCAGCTTGAACTATTGGAGTTATAGTCTGAGTGAAGTCTGTAGATGGCATCTCTGAACCTAGGTCCTAGAATTGTCGAACTAGATTTCCTATAGTTTGATGAACAGTTCCTTCATAAGCCTGAGGTTGCTCATGTATATTCTCTAGTGTATAGTTAAGTTCTGCTTCTATAGTATTGCTTTAAGGTTGAATTGATCTCTCTGTTGATTGATCATGTGTTTGTACACCTTGAGGTACTGAGTAGTGAATGTCATGCAGATGTGCGGTTATTGAGGTTGGGAATATAGGCACCGAGGAATCTTCTTTCTTCTTGAAAGGAAAGACATCCTCTCTGAATACGACATCTCTATTAACAAAGAAAAGCATGTCTTGTAGGTCATATAATAAGTAGCCTTTCTGAGTTTCTGCATATCCCATATGGACTGCAGTTTTGGTTCTTGACAGCATTTTGTCATGTTGCTGAACAATCTTGGCATAACATAAGCATCCTAGTACTTTTAGGTGATTATAGGATGGTGGTTTCTGATATAGTTTCTCATAGGGAGTTTTGTTATTGATAACAGTACTTGGCATCCTGTTTATGAGATAAACAGCAGCATTCACACAGTGACCCCAAAATCTTATTGGTATTTCAGCCTGAAATGTAATAGCCTGGTCATCTCTAAAATGTGCCTTTGCTTCCTCTCAGCAACTCCATTTTGCTGAGAAGTGTAGGCACATGAAGTTTGATGGATAATTCCAAGTTTTTTAAACATCTCACTGCACACAGAGTTTACAAACTCAGTGCCATTGTCTGTTCTAACAATTTTAACAGTCTTGTCAAACTGAGTTTTAACCAATACTAGAAATTGTTGTAGCAAGACACACACTTCAGATTTCTGCTTAAGTAGAAACACCCAGGTCATTCTTGTAAAATCATCAAGAACTGTTAAGAAATATCTATTACCATCATAGGTAGGGGTCTTGTAAGGCCCCCATAAATCCATATGTACTAGATCAAATCTGCTCATAGTTTTAATACTACTAATAGGAAATGGTAACCTTGTCTGCTTAGCACAAGGGCAGACTACACATTGTCTCAACTATAAGTTCTGCTTTCACATGTAGTAACTTCTTAAGAGTTGAAGTTGAAACATGACCAAACCTCCTGTGACATAGGTCAATGTCCTTTGCTGTAGGTGTAATTGTTTGATCCTTGTCATTTATTCCTTCTGTTCCCACTGAAGAGTTCCTGAAATACACAGAAATCAGGAAAGAAAGTTGCTGAGCATTGCAATTCCTTTGTCAGTTTAGCCACTGATAACAAATTAAACTTAAATTGTGGAACATAGAACACATTAGTAATTGTGTTTCCTTCTGATAAAGTGCAAGCACCAGTATGTGTAACATATGAAATGTCTCCATTTGGCATAAATATTTTCTTGGTTTTTCAGATTGAAGTATAGTTGACTTGTTTAACATATTCAGATCAGCTACCATGTGATTTGTGGCTCCTGTGTCTATTATCCAATCTTGTAGATTGTTAGAGGCCAATAGAGCACAACTAATACCTGTTGTATTTGCTGCAGGGGTTGACACTGTGTTGGAAGTCTGACTAGACCCTGCTTTGTTCAGTAGCTGAAGGATCTGTTCATATTGATCTCTAGAGAAGGTGCAGTCTGCCATCGGATCCAGTTGATTGAAGTTTAGACCAATTACAGACCCTTGGTCCTCAGTAGTTATAGGAACTTGATTTGCAGTATTTGCATTCATAGTCAGATTCTGCAGAGGAACCCTTGGATCATTGTACCCATTGTATGCCTGTTGCTGAGGATTGTCTCTGATGACATTGTATGTTGCATTACTTCCTGTTCCCCCTCTCTTTTTTGGTCTGTAATCAGGTGGATAGCCCACTATTTTATAACAATTCTCTTTGCTATGCCCCTTGAGCTTACAGAACTCACACAGAATGTTATAGTTTTTCTTGAACCTTTGATTTCCTGTAGTTCTTGAGTACATTACAGCATCAAAATTTCCTGTCATAACAGCAGGATTGGCCCCTAAAATTCCAGTGGTAGCCGCTATTGATTTTTGCCCTTCATCACTTACTGTCATAGCATATGCTTGATTAATTGTGGGTACAAGGCTTCTCATTAAGATCTGACTTCTAGCTTGAGCGCATGAGTCATTAAGCCCCATTAAAAACTAATACAACTTTAATTTCTGAAGATAAACAACAAAATCCTTATATTTTGGACAATCGTAGCCAGGTGCTGGTACCAAGGCTTCAAACTCTTCCCACATATCCTTAAGTTTTGAGAAGTATACAGATACTGATGCAGTGCCTTGAGACAGAGTTGCAATTTCTTTATGAAGATTAAAAGATCTTGAATCGTCTACCTTATTAAACCATTCTGATAGGTCTTCCCAAACTACTTGGACACAAGATGCATACGTGATTCCTCCAAGAAGATTTTTAGAAACAGAGTTCATAATCCATGAAAGAACAATTGCATTCACTCTCTCCCAGTGATTCCATAGAAACTCTGGGAACTTCTCCTTCTTGCATGTACCATCAATCAAACCTAACTTATTTCTACCTAACAAGGCAACACGCATAGATCGATTCCAGATAGAATAGTTCTCAATACCTGTGAGTTGGAATGAGATGATTTGTATGTCACTTACATCAGTCGGAGAAAAGAACAACGGATGATTATAGTCGACTCCAATCAGTTGATTTCCAGTTCCTATTGGTGGATTTCCGACTCCAATTGGTGGATTTCCAACACCAAAATACAGATTTTCCCTTGCATGTTGCTGATGGATTGAGCTTTGACCCATATTCTGCTCGTTCTCCATTGAAACAAGAAATCTCAAGATTTAGGAAATGCTTTCTAAATAGCGGAATAGATCGACGAATTCAAGCTAGAATATCAAGCTCGATCGCTCTGATACCATGTAATTATTCGTGGATTAATAGGGTATGAACCCTATAACATAAGGAAGAAGATGAAATACAGAGATAGAGTTAGAGAGAGACTAGATTGAAGAGAGAATCAGAGAGAAATGTATTATTTCGTGTGTTTTCAAAATGAGAGAGATTACATTATGTAGTTAGTGATTAACTAACTAATGGAAGTCTTCACTACTTCCTAATTTCGGTTAGCACTAGCTGAGAAAAGACTAATTTGCCCTTCTTGAGTTACTCCTTTCTCAACATCTGGTCCTTCCCCCAACCCCGCGCATAGCGGGAGCTTAGTGCACCGGGCTGCCTCTTTACACGTCCTTGTATCATCAACTTAAAGAAGCCGTATCAATATCTAAATCAGGTGGTAGAGAATTAATGGCGTCGAATCACATAGAAAAAGTGTAGCAGGCAAATAATGGCGTCAAATTGGACATTCATCTTTTTGATTGCAGAAATGAATAGTTTCACTGAGTATGTTGCTTTCTTATGCATCTGGCCAGGGATAGTTTGTGTCTTTGTGACTACTATATGGACCTTGGCTCTGTGAAGGTATGTCCAATATCATATCTTCCATTATCAACTGAAAATGCATTAAACTTTCTTTATTTAATTTAGATACGTTAATAATGTAAAAGATTTCATACCATCAAATGTAATTTTACTGCCTATAATAGATGAAATTACATCTTTTATAGGCAAGTATTTTTAAGTGAATTGACAGTGTCTTTTTTGCGTTTTTTATTAAGGGGTGTGAATGAGAAATGGAAGAGGCACCTCTTGGATTGTACCTCTTCATCTCACCCTTTCATTGTCTATAAATAGAGAGGCTTAGCCTCATTTTCCACCACTGAAAAATCTGAAAATTTCTCCCCTCTTTTCTATATTGTTGCATTATTTTCAAATATACATAAGTGTCAAGTGTGATTTCCTCCGTCTGTTGAGTTCGCTAAAATTCTGTAATTTCGATTGCCATTATTACAGAATAGTTATTCCGTTCTATCCTGGGAGGAATTAATCCAAAACCTTGGGCAACAGTGAGGGGATTAAATTCCTTAAGGATACACAAGCAACTTGTGGGCTCGGAATTATTTTTCTGTTTTGTTTATTAAATGAATGTTTTCTCTGCTTCTCTGATTTTCTGATTTGAACACAGTAATACCAACAATCTTAAGGAATTTAATTTCATGAGAGTTTTCTCTCTGCCTGCAATCCGTGCGGTCAGAATGGAGGAATCGAGAAAGTATTCTGAAAATTTGACGCCAAAGGTGAAATAAATGAAGTTGCTGATCAATACTCGGTGATGATTACATCGATTTACAATAGTTGATTGCATTGTATCGGTACGCTGTGTTCACTTTAGATTTGAATTAAGAGATGAGAAGTTGTTACAAAGCTTTGTAGACTACATCAGAAAGAAAGTAGCAAGTTGTATGAAAATGTGTTCAAACGATTTGGAAGGAATCTTCAAACTGTCGTTACCAATTACAAACGGAACGAAGGATTGGTTTAGGTAATCATTTAAGTGGATTTCAAAATAAAGGCATCTTAAATGAATATTTAACATTTGAATGTGGTTGGAATGCAAAAGTGTTGCATCGGTTACTGAGAGGAGCACTGCTTTCAGTACTTGAATATTAAAGTCCTCGTGGGACTAATTTTCTGTATATCGGGTTATATCTATTTACTATACCCACTAATAATTGTTTTATCCTTTGGTGGTATATAAAATTTTGTGTCTATAAATTTAGGGTAGGTATTTATTATATGATGATCTCATATTATATATTTAGAATATATGCATGAGTAGGAATAACATGTATTTACGATTGGTTTGTTATTCCTTTGACTATATGAAAAACTATGAGTAGTTGATATAGAATTTGATAACATGCATAATATATGTGGATGGTTATTTTCAAGGTTGTAAGACTTGAATTAGGCTTACAGTAATACTTGAAGTATCTTGAGATCATGAATATAATATATGTAAAGATGAACATATATGTGTTTGATTAGAGAAAGAGATCAAACTGGTTAACGTGTTATAATGGTTTAGTTGGAAAATCATTTGGAAAGGGAATTAAATTCTTGTAATTTTATACCCCTGGTTTGGTAGACTAAATACTTCGTGATTTTTACTTCCTGCTTCGAGATTAAAATACTGCGTGATTTTCTTACTCGTTCATTGATATTAAAGTACTTAGTGACTTTATACTCGTTCTAGAGATTAAAATACTTAGTGAGTTTTTTACTTCCAATTTATTATTCGATTTGAAGATTAAAAACTTCATCGTTTAATAGATTTGATTGTGTCACATATTACACGATTTGAAGATTAAAAACTTCACTGTTATTAGATCCGGTATTAGATATTACTTGGATAGAAGATTAAAAACTTCACCGTTTATTAATTCTGATTGTGTCAGATTGGTTTGAAGATTAAAAACTTCACTGTTATTAGATCCGGTATTAGATATTACTTGGATAGAAGATTAAAAACTTCACCAATTCTGATTGTGTCAGATTGGTTTGAAGATTAAAAACTTCACCATTTATTCTGTCTTTGTCGTGATACAAACAACAGTTCTTGTGGTTGGCATTACAAAGTAATAGGGGGCAGCAAATATGAATCTCCTTTTGAAGAAATAAGTTTGGAATATAACATCATTCACCAAACGACTGCCCTTTACTCACCGCAATCTAATGGAATTGCGGAAAGAAAGAATAGAACGTTAAAGGAGATGATGAATGTCTTGTTGATAAGTTATGGTTTACCCCAAAACTTGTGGGGGAAAAAGTTATTCTTATAGATAACCGTATACTCAGTCGAGTTCCCCATAGCAAGACGCAATGCATTCCATATGAAAAATGGAATGGAAGGAATCCCAACTTAAATATTTTAAAGTGTGGGGTTACTTAGTTAAAGTGCAAGTTCCTAAACCCAAAAGGATAAAGAACGGATCGGAAATTATTGATTGCGTTTTCATAGGATATGCAACAAATAGTAATGCATATAATTTTCTGGTTCATAAATCAGGAAATTCCGACATTCATATTAATACGGTAATCGAATCAGATAATGCTGAATTTTTTGAGAATATTTATCCGTATAAAAAGGAATGTGAGTCGTCTAGTCAAATATCTAAGCGACCTCGGGAAGAAGCAAAGGAAAGTACACCTAATGAGGTGAATTCAAGACGTAAACGTCAAAAGACAACTACTTCCTTTGGACCAGATTTTCTGACATTTTTGTTAGAAAATGAGCTTCAAACTTTGGAAGAAGTTATGTCTTCCTCGAAAAGAAGCAGTCAATATCATATAGTCATTATTAGATTATATGTGGATGATATGTTGATGAAACATTTAAAATGTGGGGGCTTTTAGTTTATGCATGACAAAAGCCAATGTTAGACCTAATTCTAAATAAAATAATTTTTGAACCCCACCAATCCTTAAAGGATATTGATATGATAGTCAGTGAATTCATTACCTCTTCAGTCTTAGTGATGACTAGTGATGAAACTACAAATTCAAAAATCGTTTATGTGTCGTTCCGGAAATGGTTTGTTCTTTCTTGAACATTTATAATGTTTAGCTCTTTTAAGAAAGGGTGTCATCTGGAAGGCTGTGGCTTTTCATGAAAAGTGCGTTTATATATTTTGTATAAACATGACCGTTCATGAACAAATGTATTAATACGTTGGTCTATAATGAGGTGAACCAACTGATGAACATGACCAAAATCCATTCCATGTTGGATTTGTTTCATGAATGAAGGTGCTATTATTTGCATATCATTTAGACGTATGAATAAATAGCATACAAATGCTTGAAAATGGCAGAATGATTGTGAAATGTGTTATATAGTAAAAGGTTGTGGCCACAACTGATGCCAATGTTATAATATACTATTACTACATTAAGTGTAGTCAATAATCTTATATGCAATCGAAAGTCGAGAGGTATTAGTCTACGACATAAGAAAGTTTGCATTGAACTTTCATGACAATGAAACGAGTTTTGAAGTATTTGAAATATACTCCAAATTATGCTTTGCACTACAATAAGTATCCCGCGATAATAGAGGGGTATAGTGATGCAAATTAGATCACCGGTTCAACCGATTCTAAATGAGTCGGTGGAGGAGCGATGTCTTGGAAATCGTCCAAACAAATGTGCATTGACCGCTCTACAATGGAGTCTGAGTTTATAGCTTTAGACAAGGCCG